GTTTGCGGTGCCTGGAGTCCCTAAATGAGGGCAGAGCTGCACGCGGGGCCAGGAGAGGGGGGACACGGCTCAGCCTCTGACGAGGTGAAGGACTCCTGGCTGGCACTTCACGCAGTAGCTACGGAACCTCTGGCGTAGTCTCGGAATGATGTACCTATCCTATAGTGATTTTTCCTTCGGGCTTCAAAACATACAGGGAAGTTGAAAAACCTCAGGTAGTAGTGTCTCTAGATAAGAGCAAAGTCAATGGTTGTGATCAGTGGAACAGATTTTACCACCCTTGGCAAGAGGAGGCCGTTTCAATTTTTCTGATGGAAAGCGTCATGCAGAATGCAGGTTAGAAGGGTCGGCTGGTGATTCAGAGCTTGCTTTGAGAAAGACTCTGCCCTGCATTCCTCCAAAGAGGAGCGGGAAAGGTGCTTGGTCGTCCTAGGCAGCTTTATCGCCACCCTCAAGAAGTGGCTTTATGGGCTCCTTGAACACAGACACATTTCAGCCCCTGTAGAAGGAAGCAGAAGGGGTCTTTATCCACACATTAAAACAAAAAGAAAAATAACCCTGCTTAGACATCTGTCTGCACACAGAGCTGCTGAGGGAGCTACTCCTCATCTGTAGATAAGATGAAATCATTCTCGAGCAGGGATAACCTTAGTGTAACCTTATAACTTTAAAAACTTGTAAAAAGTTTTTTTTTGTCACTATCATTGCTTTTCCAGACAGCATAGTTTCAGGAAGAAAATCTTTTCTTTTAATCTTTTTATGAATTCATAAAGAAAATATTCGTGCACTCATATAGACGGGCAAGGCCCACAACAAACCAAGTTCTTGCATTGATTGCTACAAACTGGAAAACCCCAGCCAGAGGCCCGCGCTCCCCGTGCTGGTGTTTCTCATCCTGCACATGCACACGCTGTTGGGCTACTGAATCCTCACACACTCAGCCCACACTTGCGATCATCTGTCTTTTGCTTTTAAAGCAGCATTGGTGGGGAGGGATTGGCCTGATAGACTTGCCAGTTGTCTGCATATGTGTGGGAGCTGCTTTCACCTCTCTAGGAAGAGAGGCTGTTCAGAGGGAGGTGGCTGCATCCCTAGAACACCTGGGGCCAGGAGAGCCCTAGTCACCTGTCGGGCAGAGGCAGGGGGCGGAGCCTGTGCTCCGTTGAGTGCCTGGGAGTGGCCACTGCAGTGTGGACAGCTGGAGAGGAGACCGTCCTATGCCAGGAAGGCCCTGCCGAAGCTGCCTCACCCCTCAGCTGGAAAGCCTCAGGGGGCCGCGGTACAGGTGCAATGTGCTCAGCAAACAAGTTCCTTCTCCTCCTTGACTCACGTGGCAATCTGAGGGGTTACTTGATGGGATAGGCACTTCTACTTTTCATCAATAAGGACACTGAAGCCTCAAAAGCGAGGCTTACCCAGGATCGCATGGACGGTGGGAGCAGAGCCTGGACTACAGCCGGGTCTTGAGTCTTGTGCTGCTTTTCCCCATCACCACACGTGTGTGAAAGTACCCCAGCCCGGTCTGCCTGTCGCAGGCACCGAGAATGCGGCCTTTAATGTTCATAACCATCACTAACAACGTACCAACTGAAATAGAACCACCCATGTGACTCTCTCAGATACAATCTACAAAAACACATCTGTAATTGCTCTTCCCCTTTTAGGGGCCCTGTCTCCTCGGGATCCCAGGTAATCCTCACAAACTTCCTCCGGCAGCAGCTCTGCAGTGAAATGTGCGAACGGTGGCTTTGTGGCACTTGAGCACTTAATTGTGGTACCTTAAAAAGTAGATTTACTATGAAAAATCTGAGCTAACATTCACTTTTTGAAAGTTAATCTTACCAGAAGTGTTCTTGAACTCTGATTTTCTAAAGTGGCAACATACTTTATTTTTAAAATCTGGTTATTTTAACACTGCATTGTTAGGTGTGATTTTTGACATCCCAGCAAAGCAAAGCTGTAGTCTTACCAGATGCCATTTAACTTATGATGCATTTTATCAGATCTTATTTTATACAGTATATGCAAGCTTAATATAGATCCTATAAGCCCTGAAACTGTTAGTTTTCAGGACTGTAGAATTACATTGTTTGAGCTTGTGGTGCAAATCCCAGTATAGAGATTTCAAGTAAGTGAGTTTTGAAGTCTGAGTAGTATTATGAGCTTTTTAGCTCAGTTAGTAGAGGGCCAGACCCAGAACAGCAGGGTCCTGGGTGTGATTCCTTTTCCCTCCTCCTGCCTCACGAGCTCAGTCCACTTACCATTTATGTGGCCATCCCTCGGTGCAAACCCTGAGACAGAGGGAGCCCGCTGGAGCCAGTACCAGTCCTGGGGAATCCAAGTAGAATGCCAGCTGTACTGTTGTGGGGACAGTAGTTCTCATGCAGGCCACAAATTAGTATCACTTGGGAAACTTAAAAAATACCCTTGGTGGGGGTCCCAGGGATTCTGATTCCGTTGGTCTAGGCGTGGGTGTGTTTCAGAGCTCCCCACACCAAGCTAATGTGTGGCCAGGGCTGAGGTCCATTGGAAAGGAGGAGGAGTGGGGCAGAATTTGGAGCGGCTTGGTTATGTTCCTTTGTGTGCCTTCACGATGCTCGAGTCCTAGAAGAGAAAGCAAGCCGCCTTAGGCATTTAGAGCATGACTGAATAGTGTTGGAGTTTCTTCAATAATGGATCATAAAATTTGGTTGTTATAAACATGACATAAGACATTTTGACAAATCAGGTTGCATTCTGATTGGCGCCTGAGATCGACATCTGTTTTCTTATTCTTTGAAATTTTAGCCAGAAATGAACGTCTTCTGACAGGCATTACCAGAAGTATGCTCATGTTCATAGTTAAGAATAAAAAAAGATGACTATGTATATCCAAGGAGAATCATTAGTACTTATATATGCTTTGAACTATTTCAAGTATGAATAATTTCATATTATATGTGTCTACATGTCTCGTTGGAGGCTTAGTACGTCTTATGTGGTTCATCCAACTTTTGCACCGAGATTAATGTCAAAACAAAAGACATGCAATTCTACTTGAAGAGCCCGGCAGTCTGGGAGTTCTCACTGCAGACATCTGGCAGGGATCAGCTAGGCTTTGTGTGCTACTAGACTCATTTTCCCACTGTGTCTCTGGTTCATCCTGGGCTTCTCCCCTGGAACATGTTCCTTCCAGGCCCACATTACAACCCACTTCTTCACTGAAGCCTTCCCGGACAGCCCATTCCAAAGTGACACTTCTATTCGTTTAACACGGATTCGGCTTTTCATTTGTTCCACACAAGCTCTTGTGAGTCTCTCGACTACCTTAGCCAGTGCTTTGGATTTTCCAACCTTGGTGAGTCTACTTCCTTCTGCAGGAACTGTCTTCTTCCACTTCTTTGGAGACAAAGCAGGCCCTCAGTTGATATCATTGAATTGAATTGAAAGACTAGCCAGAAGATCAACATTGAGTTTTAGTGCTGATTATTTATTTCCATCATATGAAGACATCGTGTTGGAGGGTGGGGGGGATAGAACAGAGAGGGTGGGCAAGGGTGGCCTGTTTTTTCTTTGAGGCACTTCAATTTGTCAGATGACAGCTCACATAAAAAGCATACATCAGGCCACCAAGGCTGACCAACATTCTTATGTAAGTTGTTTCTGTTTGGAAATATCACGCAAAGAACATGAATTAAGTGAGCATTAACAGATGCTTCTGACAAGTTCAGCTTCTTATCCAAGACACAGATTGATAGAGGTCAGGCATGAAGGCATTTAGACTGAACAAATGAGAATTTTAGTTGAGAGTGATAAAGTTGCCAAATATTGATGGGTATTAGTCATTTGTGTTGGGACTAAGCTGTTTTGTCATTCAGTAATTTCAGTGCAACAGAAGTGAACTGAACATTTACTGTGCACCAGCCACTGAGCTGGGCAAGTGGGGGCAATGGCAAAGAAAGACGTGGCCCTTGCCAGGCTTGCAGACCGGTAGGTGGTGAGATGGGGTGGAGATGTGCGTGGTGGAATGGAAAGAAAGTGGAAGGACATTTTGAGTATAATCTACCATTGCTCCAGCTACTGTGGAAGCATCTAGGGGGACTTGAACCCACCAGCTGAAGGAAGGAGCACACAGTGGGCTCTCCTTGAGGTGTCATCCCACTGTGCTTGAGCCTAAGTAGGAACTTGCACTAAAGGCTGGCAGTCACCCAGATGTTTCTGCTCCCCCTTGTGTGAGTCTGCGTGAGTCCACTGCCCTACCTGGAGTGAGCACTTCTTGGCCCACGTTCCCTGGGTCTGGCTGTGGCTCCTCACTGCTAAGACCCAGAGCTGGTTCAGCCCTCTCCTCTCACCCTCACCAGGCTTTGTTGTGTCCCCCCTCCCTGCCGTGCCCTCTACGGGGCTCTGCTCCTGCAGTGGAAGGATCTGATCTTTCTCATTGTCTGCCTCTGCTGCATTCCCAGCGTTCGCACCAGCTCAAGCTTCTTCACTCGTAACTCTGCTACTTGGCACAAGACCACAGAGCCACATGGTTAGACCTGAGGACAGCATCCCAGGCCATTGTGGCCAAGACGTCCTAAAACCGCTGTTGGACCACCATTCCTGAAACTCCCAGGGCTGTTTTTGTGTGGAAGATGGAAAGTTGGATTAGGCCTACTGAAGGGACCAGGTAGACCAGATGAAGACGTCCCCTCTTCGTGTTCTTGAGAAAGCTGTTAACTCCTTGACCTTACAGCTGTTAACTCCTTGACCTCACCTTCCCTGCAGAGGGTTAGCCCTGAGCCTTGCCCCTCTACTTTCAGTACTGAAGCAGCATCTAACAGGTGTTTTGACAATGGGAGGCATCCTCCTTAATCAAATCGTAAATGATAGCCGGAGTGGTTTGTGGTGAATGAAACTGCCCTACACGTATGCCCCTCTGAGATTTCTGCTGGGCACAGAGGCATTTAGTGTCCTTGGTGGGCAGCTGGGAATGATGGGAGTGGCCTGTGCATTATTCTCCACCTCTTGTCATCTCTCAGAGTGCTGAGCAGATTGCTGCACTGTGTAGGAGTTTTAACGACACTGAGGCCAACGGCATGGAAGGACCCAGGGAGAGTCAGGACCCACCTCCGAGGCCCCTGGCCCGCCACCTCTCCGATGCAGACCGCCTCCGAAAAGTCATCCAGGAGCTCATGGACACGGAGAAGTCCTATGTGAAGGTAAAAGGAAACGCTGGGCATTCTTCCCTTTTTGGTGATGGTGAGCTGTATGTTAGCAGAGGCCCCCAGATCACCTCTGCCCCGGACACCTGCCACTCATGAGGTAGATGCCTGCTCCCTGAAGCAGTGAATTATTACAGGGAAGGAAGGGGAGGGGTGAGAGGGTGGAAGAGCTGAGAGGACTTGGAAAAAAATCAGATTCTTGGCTCATTTTGTTACCAAGGTATCTTTCACTATGGAAACAGATGTTCTAGTTTGTCATTTGCAATGTGTGGGAAGCGAGCACAGACTCCCTTGGTTTAGTAAAAGGGGGGGGAAGAGATCGTTGTAGGTGATGAAGAACACCCTGCCTGAGGGTGGTCATCATGTAGAACAGAGGCCCATGCCCGGTGTGGGTCTTCTCACGGGAGTGTTCTCACACTGTTACAAGGGGGTAGTTGCCGAGTATCTTGAGTACCCGAAGAGTTCATTTATCTGTCTCATAAGCCTCCAGTTAGTGGTTTGAGAAAAATTTTAAGAAGAATACAGGAACCTGGGAAGGCAGAGTTCTTTTGCTTTAAGTGCTTGCAGAAGCTGCAGAACTATTTTAAGCTCACTTCGTTTGTCAATTCCTGAAGCAGGGTGGGCAGAGTCCAGGGCTGGCTCTGCCTCAGTCTGGCGGCATGGCCTGGGATGGTCCCCTTCGACCATCCCAAATGAAGGGTCTGAGACCGTCGGTCCCCATGTTCTCCGAGGCTTCCAGCTCTAACATGCTGAGTCCACAGATTAAGGCGTGGCACACACGTGGCTAGTACTGTCTTTCTTCACAAGACACATCTGAGCTTCCCCTTTTATCAACATCACTTGTTTTACCTGGGCTGTAACAAGGCTTTACTCACAGGTAGCCCGGGAGAGCTTCCCAAAGTCCCTTCTTTTGGTCCTGCTGGGGAGACAGAAAAGTTAGAGAGATGACAGTTTAATTTTATTTTCCATTATGTCTTGTCCTGCATCCAGTGTGGGGAGATGAACTGAATATCCAGGGTGTCCCGACTAGATTTCTGAATAATCCTGTGTATCCACAGTGACCTTGTTCCAAGTAGGTCTGTGAACTGTGGATGTTTTGAGGCATCAGCGCCATTGACATCTTGAGAATAGTCACGGCACTCTCACCTGTAGAGTCAAGGGCAGAGCTCATGGTAGAATCTAAGCCCCTTTCTTTATTAGCGTCTTGTGGTTTATTAGACCACCCTGCACTGGGAGGCTCATTTTGGCGACATGCTGGCACAGTACTGACATGGGTGTCGTGGGTGAAGTAGACAAGAAAGACCGACTCTCCCTTCTCTCTGCAAGAAACCTGCACTTTGTTTTCTTAGGGCCCCCAGCGTTGCAGCTCTTTGCCACTTGCAGCTCAGCGCGGACCTGCTCCCGCGGTGCAGTAAGTCCTCCTGAGCAGCACTAGCCTGGACCAGAGTGACTGTGGGCCCTGCCACTGGCTCTGACAGAATCACCAGCACTTGGCACCTGTGTGATTCACACCCCTCCCCACCATTTTTTAATTTCTTTTTTGTTGCTGACATTTAACAAGTAATTTTACTTGTTGTCATTCTTTAACCTAACCTGGATCCCTGCATGCTTCTTGAGATTTTCAGTATTTGTGTGTTCTGGGAGAGATGATTCAGCAACCTCTCACCTCCCCATCCAAGTGGTCCACTGTGAAATGTGGTGAAGGAGGCAAGGCCAGGGAGGTTCACTGGGAAACACCATCAGCATCCCGGGCCTGACCCTGCTCTCAGCACCGACACCAGCAGGTTCTGGGGGTGCTTTGGGCTTTACAAAGTTCTCCGAGACTTAGATTTCCCTGTTGTAAAAATGAGGAAGTCATTCTAGTTGACTACAGTCAAATACTTCTATTAATAGTATTTTAGGACTCAAAATTCTTCAGAATAAATGAAACAAGAGAAATCTTTTCTATCACTAAATTGTATCATGGTCTTGGCTTACAATTATTAATATTAAATTTAAAAAATCTTTGAGAAGTTTTGTAAATACAGTCAACTCCCACTCTACTGCAGGAGCCTAGTTTACTAGAGACCCATATATGACTTAGATTTTGAACATTATACCTGCTGCTCTTTGGAAATTTTTCTTCCATTTGCATATGGGAATTTGGGATTCTGCTAATGTGTCATCCCTGGAATTGAGGAGCTCCCCAGACCTTGTCTCGCCCCTCCTAGCACCATGTTGGAGCTGTCACTGTGCTCCCACCTGACAGTGCCTGGCCAGACCTCCTTCCTCTGCAGGGGCGAGCACAGTGGCCTGAAGAAAGTGTCTGCTTCAGTCAAGGAGACACTTAACTAAGCAGAGTAAGTGATCAAGCTATAAAGGAAGACGTGGACCCCAGCCATTGGTGGTATTGTGGTACTAACCTGTTTGAATTAGGTGAGCAATAATAACCACGTTTAGGATCAAGAATTTCAACAAGACATAAACTTCATTATTCCTAATGGGAATCTTTGGAGCTGCTGCCAGGGTTGCTGGAGTCTCATGGGTATTTCGGAGAGTTAAGTGTTAAAGAGACTTTCTTCTTTTGTCTTTCAGGATCTGAGCTGCCTCTTTGAATTGTACTTGGAGCCACTTCAGAGTGAGACCTTTCTTACCCAGGATGAGGTAAATAATGACCACCGTCCTTCTGTCCACTGGTCCATAGGTGTGTCTCCCTTGGCCTTTTAGCAGACCTCCTCAGAGATTATCTATCTCTACTGATCCCAGAAGGACATCTGACATTTAAGAGTCTTCAGAGAGTCCCAGGTGCCTGGCCTCCTGCTAAGCCATTTATGTGGCCTCTGTGGCAAAAAGTTTACAAAGGCAGAAGGATGGTCATGGCTCTTTTTGTAGTAGAAGGTGTGGCCAAAAATTACATTTCGATACATATACTTTTAATGTTAAAGCACATAATTTGTTCTTTTCTACTAAGATACATTTTTCCCAATTTGAATTCTGAGAATTTTACATCTTGGAAGAATACTTAAGAAGTTATTCTAGAAACAGAATTATAGGGGCTGGAGTTATGAAACTTTCTATGTATAAACTATATCCCATAATGATCATGCTGTCTTCTTAAAGGATTTACTTCTGTCTACTTCTTGGTGAATGACTTCTTTGTGGGCTTAAGAGTTAGCGTGGTATCTAGGTCTTACTGGCTAATACCCTCTTTTCAAATCCTGATCTTAATACAGATGGAGTCACTTTTTGGAAGTTTGCCAGAGATGCTTGAGTTTCAAAAGGTGTTTCTGGAGACTCTGGAGGATGGAATTTCAGCGTCATCTGACTTTAACATACTGGAAACTCCCTCGCAGTTCAGAGTGAGTATTTAGGTTTAAATCATGGTGCAAAATTTTCCCTCGAAAAAGGATTTGTTGTCCCTTGACTGTTGTCAAGATAACCTGAGAGCTTCCAAAGCACTGCTGTCCTCTGGCAGTGGACAAGGATACATTTTTTTTTTTCCTGGTGTAAATGCTTCTGGTAGTCAGAAGTCTGGGCAGCACTACCACCCTGGGTGCTGACCGTGCACGAGCTCTGCACTCACCTTTTCTGAAGGGTCTGTGGGGTGACTGCTTCTGAGGCAAGAGCACCTAGCGCACGTCCGATGCTTCATCTCTTTGGTCATGTGAACCTGGGATGAGGAGTGTGGGTTTCAGGTTGCTCTGGTGGAGCCCTCTCTTCTATGAAGCATCAGCGTAAGCTGCAGCGCCTGGCAGGAAGCCCTCCAGGGAAGAAAATGTGGAAGGCAGTAGCAAGGGGACCTGAACTATACAGACAGCGTCGTTTGCCCCAAGTAACCGAGAGTCAGCTTAATTAATTAACTTCTCAGATCATTTATATCCCACCTTGTCGGATATAATTTTATAGAACTTCCTTTCTGGTCCTTTGTACACTGTGTCAGTAGCCTCTCCTTCCAGAAACTTTATAGTCAAGCGAAAGATGTGCCAGGGGAGGGCGTGGGCTGTGTCCCATCTCCTGTGTGGATGGAGCAGGCCTTAGGGCTGTGGAGTCTGACGAAAGCCATGCAGCTGTCAAATGCCAGGCCATAGGCTGGCACACACCGACTAAACCATGTCTGATTTGACTTTCTCCTCTCCCCTTCTAGAAATTACTGTTTTCCCTTGGAGGCTCTTTCCTTTATTACGCGGACCACTTTAAACTGTACAGTGGATTCTGTGCTAATCATATTAAAGTACAGAAGGTTCTAGAGCGAGGTAAGTTGCTCATATGTTTTATAGCTGTGCTTTTTGTATTTTTAACTGTTAATAAAGGGTAAATCTGTATGTAACAAGTAAGGGTAAGTGCAATTTTGACGTATTATGCTCCATTCTTGACCTTGAAAGCAGCGGATATTGAAGGGAAAGGTTTCCATTTATTTCAGTTTATTGGCAGCAGTGAACATGTGTGCCTAAGAGCAGAGCTGCTGCTTGGCCATGTGTCACTTACTTTGCTGTTAAATTACATCTGGCTTCTTTTCTTGAAAAATTACTTTCTCTAAAAACTTGCAACTACATGCCCTAGATGGGGGTAGAAAGAAATGCATGTCATTTTTTTTTTCCTGATTAAGCTTCTTAAGCCTGAGGAGCCACTATAAATAAACTATCACCAAACAACCCCCACCAAACATACAAGTGTGCTAACTAAAATGAAAGTCTCTTGGGTGGAACTGAGAAAAACTCATTTCCAGAGGTTGCTCCTTCAGTGTTTCCTTGTCTCCGTACTGTCACGGAGGCATGTGGAGGTGTATCCTGACATGTATAGTGTTAATTCATTCCCACTGCACCTTTGCCATTTGGTTTTTTTTTTTTTTTTTTTTTTTGAGACAGAGTCTCACTTTGTTGCCCGGGCTAGAGTGAGTGCCGTGGCATCAGGCTAGCTCACAGCAACCTCAAACTCAAGTGGTCCTCCTGCCTCAGCCTCCCGAGTAGCTGGGACTACAGGCATGTGCCACCATGCCCGGCTAATGTTTTCTATATATTTTTTGATGTCCAGATAATTTCTATTTTTTTTTTAGTAGAGACGGGGTCTCACTCTTGTTCAGGCTGGTCTTGAACTCCTGACCTTGAGTGATCCTCCCGCCTGGGCCTCTCAGGGTGCTAGGATTACAGGCGTGAGCCACCTCTCCCGGCCTGCCATTTGGTTTTAATCCAGAACTTCACAGTATCTCTTCACACAAGAAAATCCTCAAGTTTAAAAAAAGTGGAGTCTTACGGTGCTTCAAGTTAACATGACCCAGCCAAAATCCGTCTTTTCTAGTTGCTTTCAACAGAGTTCTGAGTCCATCGGCATTTCCTCCCACAGACACCTTCTTACTGACAGTCAATAGCAAAATAAAAGGCTACCAGTGGCTCACTCAGTTCCTCCTTTGTCATAAAGATGAATGATCATCTCCCCTTCCACTTGGTCCAATAATCACATTCGGAATGGTACTGCATCTCTAGATGGTGTAGATTTTGCCCTGGTAACAGAACCCCCAATAAGGGTATAGCTTCACTCAAATTAGCCACATTTCAAACAGCTGGGCAACATTTCCAACTGCTGGAATCCAAAGTGGCAGCTGGTGTGTCCTTTGGCATGCAAACTGAATGCACCTGGATCCTGTATGCGCCCTTCATGGCACTCACACTAAACAGGAAGGTGTTTTCACTGCCAAAGAGGGTCCTAAAGCCACCTGGTGGAAGGGGGTTGTGGCTCTGGGTGCAAGAAGGTTGAGTCTGCTTGGAGCTGTGGAGGGGAAGGCTGCAGGCTATGATGAAATAATAAATCATCTTATTTTAAAGGAAAAAAGACACGGCTTTTCAAATAGCCCTTCAGTGTATAGAGTAAGAATAAGCAATAACCAGTGCTAGGCCAATGGGAACAACACTGGTTTATTTTTCCATATGAATCTTTTGTGGGATACAGTATAGGCTCTGTATAACATAGTTCTGTGGCTTTATGAATTGTTCGAAACTCACTTTTTAGGCCACCCATAAGTCTCTCTCATGGGTATGCATGACATGTGTCTTTAAAGTCAGACCTTTAAAGTCGGTGTGAGAGCTGCATTCCATCCTGGTAAGCTCCCGTAGCTCGAGGGATTTGTCAGCTTGATGTGGATCCCGTGCTGACAGCTGACTACTTGACACACTGGTGTGCTGGGGTTTTTATTAATGAATGGCATTAGGAGGACTATGAAATGGATGCTGTATGACTGCTATAAGAGAAGTGAAGAATGTAATTCATCCCACATCTTCTAAGGGTCTTTTATCCATCTGCTTACAGCTAAAACCGATAAAGCCTTCAAGGCTTTTCTGGATGCTCGGAACCCCACCAAGCAGCACTCCTCCACGCTGGAGTCCTACCTCATCAAGCCAGTTCAGAGGGTGCTCAAGTACCCTCTGCTGCTCAAGGAGCTCGTGTCCCTGACGGACCACGAGAGTGAGGAACACTATCACCTGACAGGTGAGGCCACTGATCCCTGCCGTGTGCGTGAAGGGAGTGTGGGCTGTCAGGGGCTGCCTGCCACGCCCTAGGCCTGTGAGCTCACCTCTTCCACGCTAGTGGCACATTCGGCATCATTTTTCAGCTTTGTGATTGTTAATCTTAGATTTAATTTTAATATGTGAAAACAGCTAGATATATGGCCATTCCTTTAGAATCTACAAATAGGTAAAAATTATCCCTTTGGAGTAGCCTTAAACTCCTCTGGAGGGATGATTCTGTCTTCATTTTTAGAAGAAATAATTACCTCAGGTTACTTGGCTAGTAAACAGTGCTGCCAGAACCCAAAATCAGGCCTGTTTTGCTGCCACTTCGTGAAGTTTTATAATGTTTGCTGCCCATGTGCTGCTGATCGAATTTGCTGGGTGAGGCTCCACCTTGTGGAGATCTCTGAGCAGAGCTTGACCCTGAGACCAAATTCCCAATGACAGAAGTTGATGCTGATGTGTTATTGTCTATAACTGCTGAAATTACTGGCCTGAGACACAATTTGTCAAAAACACAAAGCCTTGTAGTTTGATAGTAAATAGAGTATACTTAAAGAGATGCCTTACTTGGGTTAGAGAGAACCGGTGATTTCTTCTCCATATATCAAAACTAGGAGATTAGGTTAAACCTCAAGTAATAAAATTCCTGGGGAGAGAAATAGACTTATGAACACATTTTAGTATTACTGAATAATAAATACTGAGAAAGGTATAAATTAAAGTGGCTCTTTTTCCACGACAAGCGTACTTTGATATCATAAGCAACAAAGGAGAAAGAATTTTTTTATATCACAGTAAATGATATAAATTATGTTCAACATTCATACTATATAAAAACCTCATTTTGCATTAAGATCTTTAAAAATGGTTCTGTCAAATTTCCTTTCACACTTCTCTCCAGATTGAATTAAAATATTAAAAGAATAAAGTATGAAAAATACTAAATTTGGGGGTGACCTGAAATTTTGTTCTTTGATTTTGTCCCCGGTATGCCCTCATAAAAAGTTATAAACAAACACCATGTTCAAACGCTCACAGTTGATCAGTCAGCGGTTCACAGGGGCATATGTACATTCTGTTTACACCTGGATCCCAGTTTCTGGGAGGACAGGCAACACTGGAGAGCTGGTGCCTTGGGCCCAGTCTGGGCTTTGAATTCTGGCTCTACTCCTTTTTTTCTTCTCTGGAACTCTGGCAGAATACCCTGCACCTCAGCTTCCTCATCTGTAAAATGGGACTGATTAGTCCTTGAGTTACTGTGAGGATTAAATGAGATTATTCATGTAAATCACCTACTGTGGTACATGCCAAGTAGAAAGTGCTCAATAAGTATTTGCTGTTATATTAGTGACACTTTTCACTTATGCTTGCCTCATTTCCAAGAGAATTCAAGGTGGAAGGTAATTTTGCTGTTCTTTGTTATGATGGCTAGATAACAATGGGCTGTGGTGAGCAAGACCTGAATAATGTTGCTGTTAGTGAGTACTGGTCTCAAATCCTGGCTTGAATCTTGAGTGCTTTCATTACTGCTGTTGGGTGGGATTGAAAACAAACAACTGTAAAATAAATATGATTTCGTATTTTGCAGAAGCACTAAAGGCAATGGAAAAAGTAGCGAGCCACATCAATGAGATGCAGAAGATCTATGAGGACTATGGGACCGTGTTCGACCAGCTAGTAGCAGAGCAGAGCGGGACGGAGAAGGAGGTCTGTGAGGCGCCGGGGCTGAGGCCCGCTGCATGTGTTACTGGGTGTGTAGGTGACCCTCCAGAGTAGGCTGCCCTGTTAGGACTTTTTGGAGGAGAAAATGCCTGAAAGTGTTTTGATGTTAATGTGTATAATAAACCACACAATTTATATATGAATGTAACATAAAATTCATTACATTGGTCTAAAAATGTAGCTGCTTACTTATAAAACTAGAACACATGCGATTTGACATTATCTGTATTTTTCTTTTTTGTCTGATTGCTAAATTTAGAATCTTGTGCTTTTAAAGCCTATATACAGGTAGCAACATAGTTTAAATAGAAAATGGCAAGAACAGAAAGGAGCCAGAGTTCCATTTTTTACTATGATCAGTTTCAGTATTGGCACATTTTCATTAACAGCCTGAGTAAGAGCTGGTGGTAAATGTACTAGGATCCTGTGGTAAAAGTTAACAAAGGCACTTTGGCCGAACAAGGACACTCTGGTAGAATTAACGTTATGGAACTGGAGTAGGATGTGTGACACGTCTTGCCTACAAGTGTGCATTGAAGCAAAATGCCTTCACCTTTATGTTGTTTATCCAACAGTTTGATGCTTAACTCCTGTTTTGAAACCTCCACTGTTTAAGGCCCCATGTTTACAGGGACCATAACAATCAAACGGAATGTACTTTAGCACATATGTGATTCACTCTCTTACATGAGACAGTCCACTCTTGGGGTGTCCACATCTTTACCTCCCGTTTTTACAATCTAGGTAACAGAACTGTCAATGGGGGAACTTCTGATGCACTCTACGGTTTCCTGGTTGAATCCATTTCTGTCTCTCGGAAAAGCCAGAAAGGACCTTGAGCTCACAGTATTTGGTTAGTATTCCATTCGAAAGAATGTAAACGTAAAAGAGGCTGGCAATGATGGATACCTTCACTAACCCCATCAGCCCAGCTAAGTGCTGATTTCCAGGAGTTAGAGGAACTGCTGTAATGGCTGGTGACTTAACACGGCCAGCCTCCAACTACTTAAAACGCCATTGCTCTGCATACTCATCATCTTGTTCTCCCTTCCGCTGCTTGGCGCAGGCCAAGTGTTACTGGAACAAATCTCCCGGGGGCTTTTTTGAAACCTGCTATCTTAATAGTCTGCTGCATTTCAAGATGTCTTACTTCTGAGAGTCTGGAGAGCAAGTGACAGTGTATTGCCACTGAGATGAACACAATGTCCTCAGCTTTCAATAAAACAAACAAACAAAAAAAGAATTAAAGCCAGGATCTACTTCAGATAATAGCTTTTAGATAAGCAGGTATTTCTGCATAGTTCAAATATGAACAAAAGAGAAGTACCATTTATTCACTCATGTGATAGCATAGTGGGGTCTTAGAGATTCATGAACTTGAAGAGCTTTGTTCTACTAAAACATTCAGCTTTAGTTTAACCTTGGAAGAATTTGTACAAAATAATAAAAGACTTTCTTTTTTCCTTTCTCTAGTTTTTAAGAGAGCTGTCATACTGGTTTATAAAGAAAACTGCAAACTGAAAAAGAAACTGGTAAGAATTAATTTTAATTAAAGCTACCTTTTCCTGACTATATCTTCCTATTAACGTTGAATTGAAAAGCCCACTGAGCACCAAGGCCTCACTGACTGCTAATACTTATTCTGAGGGTAACTAACCAAATCACGTACTGAGGGCACTTCTGAGTCTCCCTATGAAAGATGTCTGTTTTAAAAGAATATGTAGACACCCATGTGAGGGCCTGCATACAAAATCAGCTTTTATATCCCTAAAAGTGGCCCATGTTTGTTCCATAAACATGGGAGTCTGTAAAACTTTGGTTTAAAATGCCTTTTACCTTGACTTATACACGCACACAAAACCAAACCAAAAACAAAGCTTGGCTGTGGATACCCTAAGCCACTTTACCATTCAGGCGTGACATGAGGACATGGAAGGCCTGGTTGCCATTTTTGCTTAGAGATTCGGAACTCTCTGTTCCCAAACTACGACTCTGGCCTACCCCACCAAGCACGTGATGGCTTCGAGAACTGCGTGCATACCTGATTCATTTCTGTGCCTTGAACACCCACACAGCTGCTCAGAGCCTTGCACACAGGGAGAATGTAAGCTTCCATTTGCTGCGTACCATGTCCTCCCTGGGCGAGAGCTTCCTTTAACATTTTTCTTGGTGGACCTTCCTGTTACAGCCCTCAAATTCCCGGCCTGCACACAGCTCTGCCGACTTGGACCCGTTCAAATTCCGCTGGTTGATCCCCATCTCTGCACTTCAAGTCAGACTGGGGAATACAGCAGGTAACTTTTCCGCGTAGTGCTACACCAGAGAAAGCATTTTAAGAGACGTACTTGAACTGTGGAATGAAAAAGTAGGAAAGGCCCTTGGTATAGTTTTTGGTGTCTTTTATTTTATAGGCAAGGAAAATGAGGACAAGAGAAGTTGTTCTGCTGTTTCTTTACAGACTTTGGGAGGAACTTAATGCCAATGGGTGGCTTCTCTTTGTCAAATGCCTCTCTTCATTGTTTTATTTTCCCCATCAACAGTTTTCAACATTTTTCTTTCTGCCTAATATTCTTGATACCCTAAAATTTGTTAGACAAAGGTCCACAAATTTAAATTTTTACGAATTTAGAATACACTAGAAAATTCTTTAAGATTAGGTAGTACAAAAACAGAAACAAATCTTTGATCCTGGAAAATGCTGAGAGATCCATCCAGAATAACCTTGCTTTGGTGACACTGCCTCTGGTGACAGAAAGGGCCAACAGGCTAAGGCATGCAGTGATGTTCTGGGCCGTTTAATTTTTGTCATCGGTGCACATGTGCCCTGCGCATGGCTACACGTGGGGCCCCTTGCACCTCCATTGCCCCAGCACATCCTACTGTTGTTCCCTGCAAGGATTGGGCGAAGGAGGACTGAAGAATAGGATCCCTTGAACCTCTTTCCCAGGGAGACGGGGTCCAGAGGTAGGGAGAAGTAGGTTCAGACGGATGAAAAACTTCAGCAGGAAATGTAAAAAGTAACTAAGAAGTATTTCAGTTTTTGTAACTATTTGTGAAAATCATACATAGAATGAACCACAGAAGGAAATGGTAAGAGTCAGGATTGGGAATATTTAACTTTTTTAAATCGTGAGTTTTAAACTTCACAAGTGTTTTTAACCACAGCATTTTTGGCAAAGTTGTAGACTCTTGATTCCTTTTTCTTTTACACAGGGACAGAAAATAATTCCATATGGGAGCTAATCCATACAAAGTCAGAACTAGAAGGACGGCCAGAAACCATCTTTCAATTGTGTTGCAGGTATCACTGACTTCTAAAAATTAAAACCCGTGGAAGTAACAGAGAATCATGTCTCTTAAGAAAAGTTTATTTTTGGTGCCCTCCTGAATTTTGATGACATCAAGATCATACCTATCCCCCTCAAAAAAAGGCAACGGAGGCTCTAGCAGAAGAATACATTGATCAGACACATATCCAAATTGTAGAATTATCGGTTCTCACCTCCTTTTGTGAGTGAGAAAAGCATGGTGCACAGGTTGGTGGCAGTCTGGCCTGGGTGGTGCAAGGCAGTGTGATGCGTCACAGGAACACAAAGGGGTAGGGGAGGAAGCGCCATGAACACTCTGGATGCTACTGCTGTTCTCTCCCTCCCCCCAGTGACAGCGAAAGCAAAACCAACATTGTTAAGGTGATTCGTTCTATTCTGAGGGAGAACTTCAGGCGTCACATAAAGTGTGAATTACCGCTGGAGAAAACATGTAAGGATCGCCTGGTGCCTCTTAAGAACCGAGTTCCTGTTTCAGCCAAATTAGGTGAGAATTTTGCTACCCTTGTGTTTATTCAAGAAAACATTATGAGCTTCCTGAAAAGGATATATGCTCTTGTAATACAGCTGTGAGTCATCACTTTGTAAGTGATCAGGGGTAATTTTATTTCCTTTTAAGAGACCTAAACATGCCTTTTGCTCTCACACATTACTTTATAAAATATAACCACCTCCAATTCCAAGCCTCTCCTCTTACCACCAGCTGACATAGTTTTCTTCCACTAAGATGTACACGAATCCAGGGACTCTGCTGTACTCCCTGTATTCTCAGTGCTCAGAACCATGCCAGCCATCTGCAGGGTCAAAACTTAACACAGACAGTCACCAACTTCTGATGGTTCAACTTACTAATTCTGTGACTTTACCATAGTGTGAAAGTGATATGCAAATTCAGTAGAAACCACACTTTGAGTACCTACACAAACATTCTATTTTTTACTTTCACTACAGTATTTAGTAAATTACATGAGACATTCATTATAAAATAGGCTTTGTGCTAGATGAATGCCCAGCTGTAGGCAAATTTAAGGTAAGCTAGACTGTTCGCTAGGTGTAACCCCATCATAATTCAAGGAGCATCTGTATACGTGTTCTTACCCAATCAGTAAGTCAGCAGGTAAACATTCCAAATCATGCTATTCTTAAAGTTTCTAATATTTCAGCTTAAGTTTTCAGAATATTACTTCTATATGAACTATTTTATTATCATCTTTGTTATTTTTAGTCTTACAAAATGGGTAGCTTTTTTCTTTTCAAATCTTCAGATTTACTGTATATTTTCTATTTTCTCCATTGTCAAACTGGCCATCAAAAATTTGTTGCTCTTGCTGTAGAAACACTGAAACTGAGAACTCCCTTTTTCCTTTCAATCCAAGAAAATGTAATTAAACATACACATAAATGATTAAACATCTATAATATCAAATCTCAGAAAGTTGGTTAGACATTCCAGCGGAGAGAGTTCTCATGAGATAATACTTTTCTACTTTTAATTGAGCAGCAAGGTAAATAAACAAGGTGAAAAGGTGTAATATGGTATAACCTTGATTACCAAATTACAGAGTAATAATATTATTACTTAATAAGTAAAAAGTGAAAGAAAGGAGCCTAGATTTTAATAAACTTTTCAGTTTACTCATTGGCAAAAAAAAGAATGGTATCCCTTAGAAAAGTTTCAGCCAAATAACTGAGCTCTAGTAATCTAAAAATGCTGAATCCCCTGACATACAAGTTTAAATAAACATGAGTCAAAAATTCCCATGCTTGCAGCATCTACATGTTTTTGCCTCAATACCAGGATAGTAATTGAAGTCAGATCATAAAATAAAATCTTAATTCAGATGTTAAATCTTACAGCCTATTAGGCAAAAATTATATACTGTATAACCTTTTCTGTATCATAAGGGGAAATGTGCTTTTCTCATTGCAGCTTCCTCCAGGTCTTTGAAAGTCCTCAAGAATTCCTCCAGCAGCGAGTGGACCAGCGAGACTGGCAAGGGCAACTCGCTGGACTCAGACGAGTGCAGCTTGAGCAGCAGCACCCAGAGCAGCGGCTGCCACACGGCCGAGAGCAGGCAGGACTCCAAGAGTGCGTCTCCTGGGAAATACCCTCACTCCGGCTTGGCAGATTTTGTGGACAGTCTCATCAAAGAGAGTGATATTCTGAGCGATGAAGATGATGACTACCACCAGACTCTGAAACGGGGCAGCCCTACCAAAGACATCGAAATTCAGTTCCAGAGGCTGAGAATCTCTGAGGATCCCGAAGCTCAACCGCCAGCAGAACCCCAGCCTGGCACGGAGGCAGGTGAGGGGCGGAAAGGAGGGAAGCAGCCCAGATTGGTCCGGGGGCACTTCTGCCCCATTAAACGAAAAGCAAACAGCACCAAGAGGGACAGAGGAACTCTGATCAAGGCCCAGATTCGTCACCAGTCCCTTGACAGTCATTCTGAAAACGCCAACATGGATCTAAATTCCGTTCTAGAGCGAGAATTCAGTGTCCAGAGTTTAACATCAGTTGTCAATGAGGATTGTTTTTATGAAACAGAGAGCCATGGAAAATCATAGTGCAGTTCAATCCACATATGGGTTAAATTGCTCATTTTACTTTTAAACTGGTGGAAAAGTGGAAATTGCAGAAAAACTATTCATCATTATTGGGTTTTGTGCAGTATACATTTTCCCACAAAATAGTTGTAAAGATTTAAGTTATTTTAATTTATTGTGGATCAGAAAACTAGACTAAACTGGTCAGAATCTGTAAATTAGTTTATATCCCTTTTGAGCAGGTATCAAAATGATTTAGAATCCTTAACTTAAAATAATTAGAATGCAATTTTATTTTATGTGGAAAAAGTAAGGCTGGGGAGGTTGCGATTAATAGCTTTTAAAAGGGTCATTTTTTTCAATTCTCTGGGCATTTTCTTTGAGCTGTTAGTTTTTACTTTATTTAAAACATATTTAAATTATTTTAATGTGGTTTAGGGGCAAGATGTGCAGATACTTCATTTTTGTAAGGTTGTAATAAATGCTGTTTATATTACACGTCATATCTATGCAGTATATATATTAAAAGAAAGCTTGTACTGTACCTTCTTTGACGATATTTATTTTCTCTACCAAGCTGTACAGTAAAGGCAAAATAAGTCACATCTGGTCATTGGTATTTTTACTGTCATCCTATAAAGACAAAAGAGTGTACACATATATAAAAAGCGCCACATTGTGAAAATCAACATCTTGCAGGGTGCCAGCCTCCAGAGCAGCAGCTAGAGCCTGCAACTGTCCTTGTCCTTGTCTTTTTCCTGAGTTTTACTTTTACTTTGCTTGAGTTCTTCTCTGAAATTATATGCAAAGAGGTGTGGGTCTTCATCACACATTTTTCTGTACACATCGCAGAGGCTCTTAAAGTGTGAGATGGAGAGCTGGCTGGGCCGAAGAGTAGGGTCCACGTCCGCCCACTGTAACAGTCTGCCCGTGCTCTCTAAGCGCTGTGCTTCGGGGAATAACATTCTGAAGGGAAGAGAAAAAAAATCAGTTTTACTTAAATTTGGGGAATCAGGACACTTCCTTCTCTCCTCATTTGAAAATGACATGGTTCCTGACAACTGACGCTTGAGGGAGTGGCAGAGGCCGCTGGAGCCTCTTTGGTTACAACACCAGGCACCAAGTATCACCTGCCCTTGGAGGCAGTTCTAACCTGACTTGCAAGGTGTGTCCACGAAGGGAAAGTATTTTCCAAAGCTAAATTAATACATGTATCTTTAAGTTTAAAATAACATCTGCTCAGCTGTATTCTTGTGGAAATATAAGCTTCATTTGCCTCATTTTGATATGAAATTTATACATATCATTTGTGTGAAAAATCTCCAGTTTTGATACTCTATCAGCCTTTCTTGTAAAGTTAAAAAACACTCGATATGAAAATACAAATAGTTATTCCTTTAAGATATTTCTGAAGCATCTTTAAAACTGATTTGGAGTACAGTATTTATTTCAGATTTCATCTAACAAAACTGAATCATTATTTTAAAATGAAGAGCAAAACTGACTACTAAATATTGCAAAGTTACTCCTGGATTGTACTGTCTTCTCTCGAGTCTCAGAGGCTCCACAGAGTTCATCCCAAAGGGCCTGATGTCATGGCCAGTGGAGACTGAGGGTTTCGTATAGGCTGATGGTCCTCTAAACAAGGAACTGCGTGTCCCTCACACTTTCAGGCTGAGGTAACATTAAATCTAAGTTCAGATGCACAGCAAGGGGGACTGATTGATTATGGTTTCTAGTACCTGGAACGATTTGTGGTGTGGTATGACTGAAGGACACCCACAGGTCAAAGTGGGTCACAGTATTTGATCCGTATCTGTACAGAGAACTGTGTACATGAAATGAATGGGGCCCATCACTTAGCTGGGGGTTGCCTTGGAAACACTAGGACCAGCTCTAGGCTCACACCAATTCCAGGATTTCCAGAAGCAGGATATACTTTTTATGATTTGTTTCCCCTCACAAATCAGAGCAATCACATACAGTCGTATGAGTCGAGCTCTGCAGGGAGGTGAGTGTGAGCTGAGATCCAGTTTGTGCTCCACTTGCCAACAGTGCACCCTTGATGGGGCTGCAGCAGTCAGAGGGATGCCTTCATTCTACTTAGCACCAAGATGGCGAGTGGCATCTCTGTCACCAGCTCTGCAACTTAAATCTCTGCTAGAGAAAGGAACTACTTGGTAAGGTAGGAATACTGGCTTAATTAGAGTCAACAAGTGGCAGGCTGAGGAGTTAACATCAGCCATCTGAAGTCCTCAAGAGTGGGTTTTGTGGACTGCAGTGGTTTCAGGATGCAGCTGCCCAGCCAAACCTGAAGTAATTTCATGTGCTAACGGGACACTTCACACCCGCAGAAAGAGAATTAAAATGAAGCTATGTAAGGAGGTCTTAGAAAATGAAAAATAAGTGCCCATAAAGCTGAGCCCCTTTAAACAGCTAAACGTTGACTGTATTAGATGGAAATTTTTAAAAAATACACACACACTTTCTGTCTTCTTAAACAGATTAAAATTGGGCCTATTTTCTGCACTCTCACTGTGGTCACTTCAGGGACCATCCAGGCAGGCAGACCCTACACCACTATGCTCTGCCTGGTTCCCTGAAGATGCCAATGTGCCTACGCTGAGCAGCCACTCCCCGTTAGATGGAAACCCCAGTACAGGGTCAGCGTTAGCTGTGTGATCACCAGTTTTAGGTTGCACTTTTGATAAAACCAACCTGTAAGTGCCATCTGAGGTTAGATTAAGGCTTTGCTTTTTATCAGTGGCAGTCAGGTTTTGTTTGTCACAGGATTTAAACTAAGGGTAATATTCACAGATAGCTTTATGAATCATCATGAAAACAAAGTCCTAAATCTTCTTTAAAACTGACTGAAGATTTAATAAAAACTACTACTGAAAGGAAGAGAAGACATTCTTACCCAAGCCCTCGATGGCAGTATTTCCTTCGGAACTGGAATACATTCTGAACGACTTTTTCCACCAGCTTGAACGGCTGCTCTATCTTGGGCTGTACCAAGGGAGTGAAGTGCACCACGCCCACATCCACCTTCATTGTAAGCAAACATACATCGTTTTGTGGCAGGACATGTGGCATAAGCTGATTAATCAACTTGTCTTCGTAAACACAAGAGGGTGGGCTGTCGAGAGCATGTTTTTCATAAACAAACCTTTCCATGTGCTTCAGTTTCAGCTTCTCCTGGCATGTACCATGTCCCACTTTGGATTTGAGACAATTCAGAGAAATCACAGTGGCTTCGTCTGTTCTACAATGCCACCCACCAGACCCGTGCTTGCTGATCACTTAATTTTCAAATGCAGTTTTACAATGGCCTTTTAAAATCAATCCAAATAATCATTAAAGTCAACAGGCAGATAACAGATAGTACTGGAATATTTTAGTTAGCTTTTGGATGAATAAAGAAAGAAGCTACAGCAGCAGCTCTGACTGTTAGGCAGGACTTCAAAACAGAGAGAAGGCAGACAGCCCCAGGGACCACTTAGTGCTCAACTCCCCAGAAACGAAATCCATTAGGACACCACTTATTTTGAGTTGACACTGGTTAATCAGCCGGACTGAATTCACGAGCGGAGTCTGCACAGCCATATAACTTTCTGGTAGCAACTTTAAATGTCCCAGAAGGCACAGGCAGGACTGACACTGAAAATGGAACCACCAAAAAATGTCACCATTTGATAGCGTTGAAGTTGCCATCAGCTGTGGAGATTCTTTAATTATCAGCAGATAAAACTTTTCAGGCATATCTGATACGAGATTTATACCATGCCTTATTCCGAAAATGGACTCATGGTGATTCACAAGGATACACTCAAAATAACAAAGGAAAAATACTGAAAGTAAAGACAAAGGGAGAAATGGAGTCCAAACAGTAATTGGCCACACAAAAATGCTGACAGAGACCATGGTCTAGGAAATGGGAAGTCTCTTCATAATTGACAAAGGCATCAGTCTCGAGAAATTGTTAAACTTGCTACTCAGACATCACATAGACTCTACTTAGACTAAGAAAGTAGCAATTTCGTGGGCTGTAGTACTGCATTTCAAAAGGAATTCTACTTTAAAACCCCATAGAGGTTATCATTTGCTCTTGGGAGGACTTGTTTCTAAAGATCCTTGTGGCTACACAATTCCTTAAAAATGGCCTGTAATATGTAAGGAGAGCAAAGTGTTTTGTTTGATTTTTAGGGTAGTGAAAAAATAACCATATATAATGTGGGACTTGGTGGACAAGAGAACAAAGTGAAAAGGACTGAAGATGCGCTCAGTCAGGCAGCCTGAACAGGCATTAGGAGGAGCCAGCGGGGTGTCTCCTGCAGTATCTGCCCTGCCCTGCTGGCCAGCTGACCCACCAGGCCAACCCCCACTCCCCTCCTCCTTGAATAATCACTGAGCCTGTCCCCATAGGTTTCAGATTAGCTACAGCCACGCCTACTGGATGTAACTGGAAATAGAAGACTTTGATCATAGGGCTGGTGTGGGCTGGCACATGCTGACAATTTTCTCGGCAGCAGGGTGAGAAATGCCAGTGCAGAGGCCTTTCCACAGCAAAAATGCCCCCCTAAATGTCCATCAGACCCCAGACTATTTTAGCCAAGTTCTAAGGCAGAACAGTAGTTATGAATAGTGATTATCTAACTATAATGTTAAATGCTCTTAATACATTTTAGTAAGTTTTTCGAATTGTATTCTATGTGTGGCTTTACCAGTTTCTTCAAGTTCAGTAACAACTACTTCCTGTAGGACTCTAAGTACTATCGGACTTTCCTTAGATCTTAACAACTCACACCACGGAGCAGGGGCCATTGGTCATGGAGGGGTTTGTGGTCACAGAGAAGAGAGGGACTAGACAAGACAAGGGGCTGTGGAGGTAGACTCAGGGTTTAGATGGGACAGGAGCATGGCTAGAGGGAGAGAAGAAAAGCCTTCACGATAGGGTAGTTCTGGGGGAGGAAAAAGAAGAACTGGTCTATGAGTCGGGGAGAGTGGAAGAAGCTGTCTAAGACACACTATGATGACTTCAGATGTCAAAGACTCCTTCCTCCAAAATGAAATGTCCATCCCACCTTGCTTCTTCCTGATTTGGGACAGAAGAGTGGCTCCGGCTGTTGGGGAGGTTCTCAGCCACTGTCCAGACCTCACCCACCTTGTCACTCTGTGACTCTCCATACCCTTCTCACCCTCTGCACTCACTGGCTCTCATTCTGCCACCCTCCAGAACTCCTCTCCATCCCTTCCACTCCAGTTCTCCCACTTACATGGAGTCAACTCTAATAAGATTTCTTCTGCAGTCACTAGGTGGGATCCAACAGCCGCCCACTCTCCAGAGAAAATAATCTTTTAGCAAAATAGGAGATAAAATTTAACCCCTACCAGCCCTAAGCCCATGAAATACTATAAAAATTTTACATTAAGTTTTAATAAATACTATTAAGACCAAAGGCATAGAGATAGATGTACTCTCCTTCCAGTTCAAAAATTGCCACTTCCAGCTTCCTTAGATTTTTGTCACTTATCTATTTATTTATTTAAAGACAGGGCCTCGCTCTGTCACCCAGGCTGGAGTACAATGGTACGATCATAGCTTACTGCAAACTGGAACTCCTAGGCTCAAGCGAGCTTTCTCTCTTGGCCTCCTGGGTAGCTGGAACTGCAGGCATGTGCCACCATGCCCAGCTAATTTTTAAATTACTTTTTTTTGTAGAGACAGGGTCTTGCTATGTTGCCCAGGCTGGTCTCAAACTCTTGACCTCAAGTGATCCTCCCACCTTGGCCTCCCAAAGTGCTGGAATTACAGGTGTGAGCCACCATGGCTGGCCAGATTTTAAATTTCGGCCTCATCTTTATTTGTCTGATTTAATTGCTTTGAGATACAGTTCGTGTTTGCAAATAGAAACATCTAATGTTTGCTTTATTTAGATAAAGATTTCAAACGCTGAACAAATATAGCAGTACCCTATGTAAACTGTAGCAGTAGACTTCTAAAGTTTGAACACAATTCTGATACCCAGTTAAAGTTGGTTCACATTATAGGTAATAGGTGAAAGAAAATTCCCACTCACAAATAGTTACTATTTAGTGGAGGACTCTATAAAACTCAGTCTCCAAAACGCTCTTTCAGTAATGTTTCCTGCTTCTGGGGTGGGTGGGATCCCTCCTATACCACTTTCTCCTTTCTCCCTTCCCCCAAAAGCACTTTTCAGAATTACTTGGAATGATGGAGCCCACTTTCTCTAGAACCACAGGAAAACTGCTTGGTAACTATGGTAACACATACAAAAATGCTTTTTACTTATAATTGAATGCTTTTTTAAAATTACAACCACTATTTTTTCTTCTTTGAGTTTTAAGTCTATTAATGGGTTGATTATAAAAAAGAAATATAAAAGCATTAGAAGTACTTAAAATATTCTAGTTCAATGTTGCCAGCCCCTTTCCAAATAGTCTATCAGTACACCAAAATGACCTACTAAAGTTTCAAATGAAGGGATTTATAATGAATTTAAATATTTGCCTCTCTAGCTCTACATGTCAATGCTATACCAGACTGAGACTGTTTCTCAATGTTAGCAGCCTTAGCCACCACAGGCCTGGGGCAGATGTCCTAGTTTCCAGGCCAAGGTGTCTAGGACATCACTGATTATCAACTCAGAGCAGCACTTGAAACTCACAAGGGACCTAGGGTAAGAAGATATTAAATCTTAGATATTACTTACTACAATTCAGAACTCTAATCAACATGATGTATGGGGGACAATGAAGAATGTACAACTCAGTTCCTGACGATCATAAACACCAAAGAGCTAAATCACTACCATGTGAAAAGATACAGAAACAACAGTGGCCACTGTCTAAGAAAGGGTCTTCATTCAGCACTCTCATGGTGTTCAAGACCATTAAAGGACAAGGCAGTGGAGAAGAAAAAGGATGAGAAAGTTACTATTTAATCAGCCAAGATGCAGCTGTAACTGGGAGACAAGAGAAGGGCTGGTGAGAAAAAAGAAATACGATGGGGAATAATCTTTAAGCCTTCAAGAACATAAGAAGGATTCAAAGTTCAAAGTGTTATTATTAGGGCAGATTTGGGTAGTCAGGAACAGGAAGCATGAGGCTGGTTTGGAGTACTGTTGCTCCATGAATTAATATAAACGTGTTTGCAGACAGGATTTGTCTCAGGAGTTTTTCAGAGCTTTGCCCTGAAGGAATATGTGAACGTGTTGGTTTGCATTTCAAATGCTGTTGCACTCGGAAGGGCGTCTCTGAAAGACAGTAGCAGCTGTATCCCACAAGGCACCACATTTCTCAGACCTAAAGGTTTGGATTTGCTTTGTAAAGCAAAGCAAATCTGTTAAAAACTACAGGATGAGAGCTGACAATGGAGTGCCCCCCGGAACAGACAGCTGCCTGAATGGCTAAAAGCAAAGCTCTTGTTTGAACACTCTAGACTACCTGTCTCCATTCACAATAACCTAATAAATATGGAGCCAACATATCTTTGTTTGACCCCTCTGTTAAGTGATAAACTTACCTTAGAACTTAGAAGTTAACCTTTGAAAGATTTAGTAACCATTTGTTCACGTAGATAGAATTAGTTAAGGGATCTGTAGAAGCCCTTTGAAAATCTGTTAACCTGAGAGGAACTACCTGTTGTTATGTAAATCTGTTACCCCTGGCAATTAATCACTATTACCTATAAGTTACCATGTAAGACCTCATTTGGGGCTTTTTGAGACCCACAGAGAAGGTCTAGGCCCCCTGAGATCCCACTTTGCCTATAATCTTTAGAAACTTATAAAACTATATATTTGTCTCTGTGTATTCTTTTATTTTCCATTTTTTCTCTATTATTTTCTTATCCCTTGCAACTCTACCAAAGGGACCCAGTTTTTTTGCTGGGAGCTTAGCTACCTCCCCGCAGAGCACCACGTGATGGAACACAGGAGGACAGGGGCTTGGGAGAGTCCTTTTCAGTGTCAGGTGAAACAACAGAGACGAAAGATGACTGCCCTGGGGGTGCTTGGTTCCCCCACCCTCTAGTGTCTACTTACTCTGCAAGTGCCGACACCAAGCTAACGACAGTCCCCTCTGAACATCATAGGCCTCGAGGTTATGACTTCCCCAGGTAAGGAGAACCTTGGTGAGGGTGGCAAGTCATCGATGCCTATTATATAATTATGGATTTTGTAGAAAAACAAAATATTGACAAATGTGAATGAAGATCAACTTTTCTAGAATTGGTTTATTCTGCCTGTGATCCCTATCCTAACCCAATTTAAGAGCAGAATTTCAATTGTAAACCTTAAAATTTTGAAAGCATTCTAGGCATTTGAAACCAATGTGTTCAACAAAGATTGACTATCCTATCAGTACATACATATCTTTCTTTGAAGTTTATAATTTGTGTTAATGTAACAATATTAATTTCTGCAGAAGTTGTACCCCACCCCTTTTTTTCTCCCATAAACCTTTTTTTTTCTTTCTCCTTGGAATCATTAAAAAAAAAAAAAAGAATAGATTTAAACAGTCACATTGTGTTTCTTCTCAGAGCATAAGCAGTAGGAAGAATTGAGGCTGAAAGAATGACAGTGAGCTTAGGTTGCGATTAGAAACAGGACTAAGAAAAGCCCAGGGTGAGGGGAAGTGATGGAGAGAGTTTTTTACTGTGTAAATTATACATGTAAATGTATATATGCATGTATGTAAATTATACCTACTAGTAATAACAAGATGAGTTAGTGTCTCTTGGTCCCAAGAGATGAAACAACTTCTTTCCTCAAGAAAGTGCAAGAGGAACAGGAACTAACAAACATTGGATTAAGGTTTTCTGTTAATCTGGAGTCCCTGGATGATCATGGAGAAAATACCTTTCTAAAACCATGACATTTTCCACAAACGATGACCTTGTGTTTGTGCAACAGCAGCATCTGAAGGTGCCCTGTGCTAACTGTCTAGGCCTGTGCTCCTGCCATGGTTCCTGGGTGTGGCAGGAGTGGCTTGAGGTGGCCTCGGGGCTGCTCTGCTAGGGCCATGGTGGGGCAGCACATGTCTGGCCCCCAGTGTTGCAGATCCAGAGAAACTCCAGCACCTTGGAATTAATCCAGTTCCTTAGAGGTGGTAACAATCCAAACAAACTCACAAGGCACTCAATAAATGCTGCTGTTGCTATTAATATTACTATTAAAAGACACATACATGAACATGGATGCTAATATTTTAATTCAAAATGAGCCATAACTGTCAAACGGACTAGACAGAACATGCTGTCTAGTCAGTACATTCCTTTCCTATAAAAACTACCTATAACTGCAAGCTCTTTTATAATTAAGGTTGTGAGCAAGGATACACAGATTGATAGTCATAATGGCCACTGGCAACAAGCCCAAGGCCGGGTGGCTCACCTGCATGGGTACGGAGTACTGGATTCTCTGAGCTGTTCTGCTATCAGCACTCTGACCAACCTCTTCTTTTGCTACACTATTTCTTTAAATCTGCTGATGCTGTCCTGTTCTGTTTCTGGCCCGAAAGATATTCTGTCTTTTAAAAGGTGAATTCTGTAACTATTGGATCTCATCTTTTACATGCTGCATTCACTAGTTTAACCCACGGAGGTCTGGAGGTAGGGCTCACTGTCCTCCTTATGTATCAGCAGTTATAAAAATCAGTAAGAGAAATGATTCAAAATGATTGCAATTATCTAATTTGGCACAAAATTACAAAGTCCACATGAACCCACCCAGGAAGACGTATAACATGGGCTGGGGCTGAGATGGCAGGGCCAGCTGGGTAGGAGAAAGTCACAGGGAAGGAAGGCAGAGAGGGAAGGCAAGCGGCAGCAGCAGGCTGGACCAGGCCCAGTGGCTGTGATCTCAGACACCGCCAACATAGGAGGACAGTGGAGAAGATTGTCCTTCTCTTCAAATTAACATACAAAGAGAATGCTACAGTAAGACCACAACAAATATAAACTTATGCTATTTGTGAGACTGAAAAAACCAGGTTGATCTTGCAAATGTCACCACAAAATCCAAAGACAGTCTTAATATTCTAAAATAATGTGACGAAAGCACAGAAAACAAATTCTTATGCTTCTTTCTCATTAACACACAGATATAACAAAAATGTTTGAAAAATAAGGTATCGAATAATAGAACAAATGGAAATGCAACCTATAAGCAGACACACATACCTGCTTTGCTATAAAGTCAAATGAACTAGGATGGCCTCATGAGACATTCGAGAACACAAATAAACCAAGGAATATTCATCTTCATTTTTAAGAGTCCTCACTATAATCAACTAATCAACCAACTACTAATTTTAAAAGTTAAAGTCTTTAGGCTAGCCTAAAGCATTATTTTAAAGCCAAAATTACCAAAAAGAGGGAGGAAAATAATGGACTGATTGTGCTCATAACTGATACTGTTAATTCCTTAGAACTGGGCCAGAAGAAAAACATTATTTTAAGATTAGGTAAAATCACTTTAAATTTGTGGGACTGGAACAGGCAACTATTTTATCTTACTCAGAATTATCATTATTTTCAAGGCTGAACAAAAAGCAAACAAGAAAAAAACATTATTGTTTTCAAAATTCAGAACTCCAACTTTTCATTAGAACTAAGCTGGCAGCATTTTAAAAATACAATGACTGGACACCATCCCAGGCAACGTAATAAGAGCCACTGGGCTGGGGCCTGGGCCTCAGGGCTTTTGGAAAGCCCACATGTGCACAGGGGTGAGAATCACAGGTCTAGGGAACAAGCTCAGTTGCTTCCCTGTAGAATCAGTATCATTGCTTGGGGCAGTATCACACAGTCAACTCAAACTCTGGTGATTAAATTCACAGAGCCTTGTGACAAGCCCAAAGCCAGCCCGGAGTCCCTGCTGGGTGCAGCTCGCCATGGAGGCTGAAACACCAGACACAAACTTCCTCAGCCCCTCTTGCAGCTAAGAATGGTCATATGAGCCAGGTCTGGAAAATGAGATATTAAAGCAAAATTGGGGGTGAGGAGGAGATTTTTGGAAACGTTTCTTGAGGAAAGGTTTAGCCACACCCTCATCCCTCTTACTTTCACCAAGGATGTGGCTATGAAATTGGAGCTGGGACAGCCATCTTGCAGCTGTTGAAGTCAAAACAAAATATAAAGATGAATGTCTAAATTTAATGTTTTATTTGGGAAGCAAGAACTGTAATTTGGGGCATATACACAGACCGGGTGGTCTTCGGTATGTCTGAAGAACAAAGAGAAGGTTGGGAGTTTTATTTAAGAGAAATGTTATGTATTGTTCTGAAAGGAAGCTCACTGGCACCAGAAAAGCTTCTGGGAGCTGGCAAGCTCTGATCGGTGAGTGACTTGCAGCAGTTACTTGGTAAAACTGGTCTTAGGGTTACACAGCAGGATGTTTCAGCAGCTGGGCTGATGGAAATTTTAATTCTTGGAGCACGTGCTATGTGCTCTGAGTGCTTTTTTATCCCCTGGCATCCTCGACTCTGACTTAGTTGGGTATGACAAGAATGACCCAATTTGTATAATCAACTTTCACACAGCCAAGGAAAGCCAAAAACTCAGTTTGAAGAACAGAAAGGCAGAAAGAGCCAGGATCCTTGAGAAGAGTTTTAAACCGCAGAACCAGCCTGAACTGCTGCCTTCCAAACACTAAGTGTCCTTATGGTTTAATCTACTGTTAGTTAGATTTTCTGGGATTTGCCCCCTGAAAGGGTTAATTTGTTTCCACAGTTTACAAAGACTACCACAGAAGGAGAGGACTCATTACAATGAGACTTAGAAACATTCTTTTCTAAGCATAGGTGGAGCAGTGCTATGTAGTTATAAGGGCTTCAAAAATCACGATCTTCTGGGCCTCGATCCCATATTCTGAACAGATATAAGCCCAAAGCCCCTTCTCTAAATTTCTTTTCAAAATGCAGAATGTCAAGGTACACTGGAAACACAGACAATAACATTTCGTTTTTTTTTTAATAGATTGAAGATGCCCTTGACTGCATTATGTATATTCAATTATATTTCCAGAATTTATGAACACCCTTTATCTTCAATCCGTTTCCTGTGCGATATTCCCACTGCCATTTACTTAGTTCCATTTTCTCTCTCCTGTTACAACAGCCTCCCACAGAGTCTGTCTTCAGTCTTGATCTCTTTAAATCCTCGACACCACAGCCACAGTACTCTGTAAACCAATCTCACCATGGACAAACTGTCTCATGGCTCACACGGCCTCTAGTGTTGGCTTTCAAAGTCTTTAAGGGAAATGTCAGCCACCAACGTGTTTCCTTCAACCCCAACGATCCCCAGGCCTCTTCTATTAGGGTAGAGGTAATAACATCTCTCTCTCACAGACTGTTACTGGGAACAGGTGACAAGAAGATGAAAGCAAATGCTTTATAAAGTGTTTAAGTTCTAAACAAAAGTATGGCATTATTATTTCTAAAATACGCAGTTAAATTACTGATTCAGAAAGAAAAGACTAGCCTGTCTGAATATCCAGATTAGCATCACTAAGCAACTAAACACACTAAGGGAATCACATGTAATTTTTTCCTGAAGATGGATAAATGAAAATATTTTAAAAAGAAACTAGATGGACTGCTGAGTCACTGGACTCTGCAATAGTCGCTCGACCCAAAATGGACTTTGCATGAGTGAGAAGTAAATGTTTATGTGTAAAGCTACAGAGAGGTCAGGGTTAATTTGTTTCCACAGCTTATGAAAACCACCACAGAAAGAGATGACTCATTACAATGAGACTTTGAAATGCTCTTCTAAGTGGAGGTAGGGCAGTGCTATGTAGTATGGAAGGGCTTCAAAAATCACAACGTTCTGGGCCTCAGTCCCATTCCTGCAACTTACTCATTTTATGACCTTAGTCAATAGTTACTTTTCTGTAGCTTAGTTTTCTTGTCTGCAAAATGAGAATTCAGGTTTGCCTTGAGAATTAAATATTACAGCACCTTAAACAGTACTTAGCGTATCCGTAGCAGCTCATAAATGGTAGATATTATCATTAGCCAAGATGACAAAACTAAAGAGTTGGAAAATTATTTAAAATTCTAGTCCTGTTTAGAAAACACAAATTATATTTCTAGTCATTCAAGTGTCAGTTA